ATCTGAGCTGTCGGCTTTGCAAGCTTGTATTTTTTTAATTAATTCAGGTTTATTAAAAATATAATTCATGTGATTTTAACAGCTTCACAAAGATCATTTTAAAGGGGATTTCCAAGTTATTCCATTGCTGTTTTAAGGTAGATCCAATCCCTATCCAGATGACATTTAGTTTTCAGCACTGTGTATCACAAACAATTGCAATTTATTTTATAAAATACTGTTTCACCTTTATTCACCCTTATCTAGTGCTTTTGCTCTCCTTCAGTCTATTTCAGCTACTTCAGTCCCTCCAGCAATGGCTGCCCATCAATGCTCCGAACCGGCTTCCTGATGTGGACCATGTCTGTGCATTGTGTGTCCGCACGGCCACCTGTGGTGTATTTGACAGTGTGTCAAGGCAGCAGCACAAGCTGTTACCCCATAACACAATATGCCTGAAAAGCCTTCTTTATAGGATAACCACGACTGTTTAAAATTAAATTTGAAGACTTATAAAGATTAAAGCCACTTTTGAAATAACATTAAGATCTTATACAAGACTCTAGTGGCTGAGTTTAGATCTACTAACTACAAAATAGTAAAAGTGGCTTCTTTGTAATTGATATGGTGTCAGTGAAATTAAGCTTTAAGAAGATTTAAGATACATTGCACACTGGGGACCATTTATTGACTACAAGCCATCCTTTCTGGCCCTCTGTTTGAACCTTTCTAAAGCTATAAAATCCACTCATGAAAGCAATCAGTCTAATGTATTGCTTTTGGGTGAGAGTTAACATGAGGGTTAGTGAGGCTTTTTACAGAAGAGATGCAGATCTGTTTAAATTGACTGCCACCTCCCATGCAGGAAGATTATAAACATTAAGGGGAGGAGCACTTACTCTGCCAATATAAACAATATATACAAATCTGCCAGGTAACTAGAAAGCCTTCCTGAAGTAGATGTAAACCCTAACTAGACAGCATTTAGTTGTATGACACCCTATGTATCCTAAATAATTGGTATGTTTTCTTTTTTTTGTTTAAGAAAAAACAATTTTCACCTTTTTTATATTTATTTATTAATGAATGTTGCACCCCATCACTGATTATCTCATCGAGCCTCTTTGCAGGCAAATCCTGTTCACATGCACTTATTTCAGAGGCAGTTGGATGTCATTGCCTATAGGTGGGCTTCCTGATGGTGACAACAGCTAAACATGGCTGCGTATCGAGCTTTAGCACAGCCACTTATAGTTTCCACCAGAAGCACACATGACAGGATGACATTGAAGGAGAGCAATTAGGAGGCAGACACAGAGCATTGTCACCCCATAACAGGAAGTGTCTAAGCAAGGACCTTCGTGGTTGGATCATTATGATCACGGAATACAGTTTTCTTGCACTTTTATTGTCCAGTATTACATTTCAAGCTAACCATTTGTTCTCACGGACATATTTTTCTGCTGCAAATTAAAGCAGCAAATAAAAAATAAATGATCTGAGCTTTTATAAACCTGTTGTGTTTATAATCCATTATGTAGAACAACAATTTCCACAGGCAAATTAGTAAGGGAACTAACCATTAGGAAAGACCTCTCTTCAGTCCTGTAAAATACAGTATGAATAGGAAGGCTCCAGGAATAATCCTTTCTGAATACAATTACACTATCATGCGTATTTAATAACACAGTTCAAAAAGCAGTGCTCTGCAAAGTGCAGTAAAGACACAATGACCGTTTCAGATTATGTAGCCTCATCCGTTGAGTTATTATGATTTTAAATGTTCTTTATTATTATTTTATTGGTTTGCATTTATTTTCACTCTTCATATTTCATCTTGTGTCATATGCCTGTTCCTCTTGAGTCTTTTCACCACTGCTACCCAAAAAGCTTCATTAATTAGCTTTAAAAAAGAGATTGCGTCAGATAAACTGCACCTATCATCACAGATTGAATAAAGGTTAAAATAGAAATTACTATGCTACAAACCACCATTCTTCATATGTATTCTATGTTGGTTATTGCACATGCATGCTGATAAAATAAATGTCATGTATGATCTTCCACCTCCTGAAATGGTGACTTTATGATTTTTATCCCTGATTAATTCTGGCACTTTCAGACCTCGGTTTTTCAATAAAAATGGCGAGTTGGCCATCTGTTAATGAAAAATATATATCTCTGTCCAGCAACCACTCACACACTTTCTAATCCCATTCAGGGTATAATTGAATGAGGCTTACTGAAGGTCATGTCAGTAGACCTAATAGACTGCAATGCCAATACATAGAAAGATGGGGGATTGTCCTAGTACTTAAGCAGTGTAGCGCTTGGATGAGCTGTGACTGACCTACAACTTCAACGATCACGGCCAGTCCACAGATCATAGAGACAAGTGTAATTTTAGCAGTTACTGGCCAAACATGGGGATGATAGAAGTAGTAATTAAGCATTAACTGCCTACAATGCCAAAGTTGGCCACCGACCCTGATTTCCAGGCATAATACTAGTTTTTTTTTTGTTTTTTTTAAAGTCCCTTTGTATTTTTTCCCTAAAAAATGATTTAGGAAATACTGTAATATTAATAATAATTATTATTATTGTTGTTTTATTTATCAGATTAAATTAATATTCAGTTTAATTACCAGTACATATGCTTGCTATAATTTCTTCATATTATTAATTATTATTGTATTTATCTGATTAAATTAATATTATCAGCACATGTGCTTCTTATAATATCTTCACATTATTATTATTAATAATAATAATAATAATTGTATTATTACATTTAAATGATTTTAAAGATTAGTATTTAATATGTGAATAATATTACTGATCATTTTAGAAATGATGGTATTAAAAATAACATGCTAGCAATGTAATGCATCTGGTCCTCTGAGATGGTATCCTGAAATAAAGAAAATATTACACCAGAAGACATGCAGCGACTAAGTTATTGGTAGTGTGTCGCCCTTATGTATGTCTTGATTACTGATACAATATAATACACATTGTACTCTGGTAGCCGCCATTTTGAGTAATTATCTTCAATGTTCAAATACAGAGACGCGTTGAAAGCTTCAAACTCTGTGCAGTTGGAGATTAAAGTCAAAGGTTGCAAAATTGTTCGTTTTCCACTGCTGGCATTTTAAACATGAATTAAAAAAAAAAAATAAAGGTGATTTTCTACATTGCTTCAGTCTGATTTACAACACTGGCATTATCCTTCACATATGATATAGAAGCTTTAAGCACATTTGTTTAACAACAATGTGGTCCTGGAATTAAGTTTAAACAGAGGATGCTAGAAGATGATAAGTCAGCCCTCAAAGTCTTGGAGCCCATGAGCTTAATACCGCATGTTTGCATCTGACAAGAAATATTCCAAACATAATGCCCTGTTCTGTTTACTACACAAGGGTGGTTATCCCCATTACAGCACCGCGCAGCTGCTCTATCATTGCTATTTCTTACATGTGATGCCCTCATTACACGTGGCTGTTTTCTAATGAAGAAATTAGTGCTGTAACCAGGCCCATCAGACTCCCATTCCTAGCAAAGTGGCCTTTATTGAGGAACACTATGCAGATTCCAGCACTCTGACACAAATTGCTTCGTCTATTTTAATACACGAATATAGTTAATTAACCAGAAGCTCCATCAGCTGATAAACAGCGCGATTAAAATATGAGTGATAGCTGCGTCCCTATAACACTAATACCATCGAGAGAGAATGCTGATTAGTAACAGGGGACAGACAACTTTCCAAATGCCAATTTCAATGTATGCTGGTCCAGTGGTCCGAGAACTGGAAACCAAAATCATCCAATTAGTTTTGCTTAATAATAAGTGATTCTGGCAATTAATATAAAAACAGGATAGATGATAGATAGGTAGATAGATAGATAGATAGATAGATAGATAGATAGATAGATAGGAAATAGATATCAATGATAGATAGTTCATAGATTAATGAAACATAGATAAATAGATAGACAAACGCTATTAATGATAGATAGATAGATAGATAGATAGATAGATAGATAGATAGATAGATAGATAGATAGATAGATACTATTATGAAAGATAGATGGATGATAGATAGATAGATAGATAGATAGATAGATAGATAGATAGATAGATAGATAGATAGATAGAAAATAGGCATCAGTCATAGATATTTGACTGATTAATGAAAGATAGATAAATAGATAGGCAAACGCTATTAATGATAGATAGATAGATAGATAGATAGATAGATACTATTATGAAAGATAGATGGATGATAGATAGATAGATAGATAGATAGATAGATAGATAGATAGATAGATAGATAGATAGATAGATAGAAAATAGGCATCAGTCATAGATATTTGACTGATTAATGAAAGATAGATAAATAGATAGGCAATAAATATTAATGAGAGAGAGAGATAGATATTAATGATAAATAGAAAGGAAATAGATATCAATGATAGTTCACTGGTTAATGAAAGATAGATAAATAGATAGGCAATAGCTATTAATGATAGATATATGATACAGATAGATGATGGAGAGATAGATGAAACATACGATTATTATATAACATTTAGTTAAACAAGATACGCTTCCTAGTCAGTGTATAGACCAGAATCATTTGGTGCCCCCTTATCTCTGTGTACCATAATTATCCTTTTCCCATAGAGATGCTATGAAGTAACTTTGCAATCTGCACATTGTCTGTCCCCTTTCTTACTACAATGTCTATCTCCTAGCTCTCTTTGGATGGTTGAACATGTCATGTATCTCCTGCCCCCATACAAAATATGACACCCCTTGCAGACAAATAGTAGTGTCCTATGGTAGAAGACTTCCAGCAGGCAGAATGATGGTCTATGGAGCTGTGATGAGCTGAGTTACATAATTATGTGTATTTATTATTCCATCTGTTTGGAGCTTTGAAGGTAATGATTAGATAGTGACAGTACACACACAGCACTAGCAGGTTATGTACAAATAGGGGGAAAAGACTTTACCTTCCTGGCCCCACCAAAGCCATATTCCTTGGCAAGTTGCTTAGCCTCCTCCTCTCCCCCTTCGTTTAAGTCCACCAAAAAATGATCAGTGAGGAGCGATCTATCAGCAGCAATAGTAGCACACAGCAGCGCCAAGCCAGCTAGGACACACTGTAAGAGGGATCTTCCTTTCATCTTTCTCACTTAGTCTGTGAAGAAGGTGGATGTGGAGTGCAAAGGCTGCAAGTCAGCACTATACAAAAACAAGAAAAGAAATGCAGAGGAGAGGGGGGGAAAAAGAAAATGCTGAAGCAGTAAAATGAAAGGGACCAGCAGCCAGTGTGCCTTATCCTACTGCATCTCTCCTCTGAGCAAGCCAAGCAGCGCTCTACTCTGCTCCGAAGGAGGCTCAGCCGTATGTGTGTGTATGTGAGGCTACTGCCAAATCTGCATCCCAGCTCCTCCTTACATCTACAATTCATCCCAGGCTCAATGCCAGTCCAAGGCAGGTCACGTGTGGAGGACTCCCAACCAATAGAAGGGAGGGAGAGGGAGAAAGCCAAGCTGAGCGCTCCGCTCCTCCTTTGTCAAGCGCCGCTCATTAGTGCCCAGCCAGTGGCTTCCTGATTCAGCACCCTGGAGAATTCCTTCATGTCTATCAGACGATCCGCAACTGGCAGAAAGGGAGCTGCTCAGTCAGGGGAAACCCACAGGGGACGGCGACTGTTAGCTAAACTGATGTCATTGTGTGCAAAACCCTCAACTGCTACACACACACACACACACACACACACACACACACACTGTCTTTTATGCATTAGTACAACGCTGCA